TATATATATATATATATATATTGGCATTGCATCATGACATATTTTCGCCATTTGGCATTTTTATTTCTTACTTAAAAGACGATTATGCGGGCCGCAGTCGTTCGTTAACCAAATTGTTCTCGGGCACCCTGACGAATGTAGTTGGCTACTGGATAGTCAACGGTCGTTAATTGTCCCAGCCCAATTAGTCCGCTTGAGTCACCGATCCACTTCAAATAAAGCCCACTCTTAGTCAACTAGAGTAGAGAGAAACCAAAACCTTGATTTAGCGCATTGACCTAAGATAACCCATCACTTCTGGCGTGTTGGGCCCATTAGAAAGACTACCTTGAGTCCAAAATGGCCTTCGGCCTAAATGGACGATCATAATTGTGTGTTTAAATTGAATGATGTATACGTCGTTTGACAAAACCATTGTCCATCGGGGATAAAGGTTTATTTTAATAGTTTTATCTAGTTAAAGAAGGAACTTTACAAGCTACCATTACATCCAAAAGGTGTTGACATTTAAAGATGACAAGATGTTCATGAAGGAAGGACCTTCCACGAAGGCTTAGTTTAGGATGGTACCCCTGCGCGGGACTAATTATTTATATCTTTTTTTTTCCTTCTTATTTTGTAATCATATTTGATTTGTTCATAAAATTTGTACTAAGTGTTTTGGGGGCAATAGAGTTTTTCAAACGACGTATACATCTCTCAAATTGATAGGCATACCCTTGGCATAAAAGGGTCACATATTTGTATAAGATGCGCAACAATTGTTTGTACGCTATGTGATATAATTGAGTTTGTCTATAATTTAAACAGTGTTTATGTGTTTAATTCATTTTTTGTGAACACGAACTAACACTCTTACCTTTTGAGTTTTTCTTATTTTTAAGCGAAAGGTTGATTTATGTCAGAATTTGGAAGTCATTATTTGCTTGAAGTTGCAAGGGACAAAAGGACTCACGAAACTTGAGTCTTTGTATTTCACAAGACTAACACCCAATCAAAAAGATAAATCAGGGGAGTATTTTACTTTGAGGTCGCACTCGTTTGTTTTTTATTATTTTGCATGCAGGTCCTGCTCTCACACATTTCTCATTTTATTTTCTTCAGGAAAACCGTCCTCGACAACAGTTGGGGACGGTCATAACAATTTATGGTTCTCGTAGATAATTTGGGAAAAAACATAGTGCCAAGAGACATTA